GTGTTAATTCTTATTTAAAAAAAAGTATTTATTTATCAATTACGTCACAGGTTTGTCAGTCTTTGCAGTTCACATTTTTCATTAAAAAACAGCAAAATCAACCGCGATACAACTGCATCGCTATCGACATAAACACAACAATCCAAACCCCTATGCTAGACCAATTCTTAGAGGCCTTTGATCCTATCGGCTTACCACCTCTGGCAACTGGCTTTGCGCACTCAGAACTGCCACTCAGGCAGAGGGCGTGGTCAAACACGTGGAATATAAAGTTCTCTTCGACAACTCCAGTCAACAAGTCAGCCCAAGGCCCTTGTGAGTAGATTCCTATGAAAGTAAAAAATATATTTTATTATATTTTAAAACGACAGTTTGATATCACTACTATGGAAGTGTTTACGRTGCCTATTTCAAAAACGTTTGTGGGAGTGATTAGAAATTGATATGACCGCAAGTTATCATGGGTATGGATAAGCCAAACAGTCAGTGGACAATCTGAATGTATTTAAAAAATAGTGGTTTTTCTCATTCCTATAAATGTCTGGGCCCGGTTTGACAGCACCTTTTTTGACGAGCCGAAGATTAACAACTCTGCGTATCTAGGCTTTGAGTGATGACATCGAACAAAATCCACTCTCAAATAGTGGTATATAAAAAGCTCGATCAACGAAACCCGACATGACTCTACCCGAGACCTGGCTTTAATGTTCTTCTTATCAATGGGTCTTCCTTTGGGTTTTGTGGGAAGGAAGCGGGGAAGGGGGGCACTTTTACTTGAAATCAACTTACCAACGTCCTGTCCTCCATGACTTTCGTAACCATCGCCCGCATTGTACAACGATTGTTGTAGGAAATGCTTATCTTGGGTGTTCACGCCGGTCAAGTTCTTCCGAAGACGTCCAACTATGGAGCTTGGTCCATTTGTGTAGCCAAGTGTAGTGAAAGGCATCTTATCATTCGAAGATATTTCAACCCTGTTGTTCCTATTAACAGACAGTCCAAATATGGGGTTACCTCTCTTTGGATATCCGGCTATGGACATGGTGTGACCATGGTCAGCGGTCACCACAATGAGTGTATCTTCTGTAAGAAAGAGACATGTCAGGGAGTTAAGATTCAATTTTTCGATTTAAAGTTGCGTCACAGTGGCCATTTCTCATTGGTTTCTATTGTTCATTCCTCCAACATGGCCGCCGTTCTTTTATCGTTTGAATCTCATGGGAGTGGGTTAAAGCGATCAATAGCTCAATCAAAAAATGGCCCGTAAGATATAGGTCCTTAATTCGTGGGGCTTATTACGGAAAAGATGATGCTCGCAATAACACAGGCAAACCAGGCTGGGGAACACTATCGGTAGGTTTTCATTCTCTCTCGGAACGAATTCTCTGATTGGCTGTGTCGCGTTTTTTAAAAGAACAATGATACTTTGATGTCTTTTGTTTTCTTCTTTTGTTTTGAACAAGCCTAAGTCTATAGGATTACATCTTCCGAGAGGTGAAAGCTCACCCAACACTATATAACCGGCACTTACTTGCATCAGTTTTCTGTGTTGCCATGGTAACAGCCTTTTCCAATTCGATGGCCTCTGTTAATGCTATATATGCGCTGTTGTCATGGTGACCATAATCAATCAGACCCTCTGTATACGTATCGATATTAGTCAAATTAGGAATCACATGTTTTTAAAAAGTATTATTGACATTTTTCAATCAATCAACCAACCAACCAATCAAAAAATCAATCAATGATCAATCAATCAATCAATTAATCGATCAATTAATCAACTAACCAACCGATCTATCAATCCGCCTGTCAATCAAACTATTCTCATAATTATTAAATAAAGTGACTATAGTTACTCAAACAAACAGTCAACCGACCAGCCAACAAATCAATCGTAAGACCGGGCAACCAACACACCGGGACTATTATATATACATGATGATCATAAATGATTGATAACATGAAATAAATACCTATTATATATACATGATGATCATAAATGATTGATAACATGAAATAGATACCTATTATATATACATGATGATCATAAATGATTGATAACATGAAATAAATACCTTCAACCGCAAGAAAAAACCCTTTGGGGTTTTTCTTTAATATATCGATAGCCACTTTGACCATTTCAACGACGGACGGCTCCCCCCCTGTATCGTTGGCTCGATCACGCACATACTTCATGGTACTATAGTCAAACAACCCTAGGAACGGAATAAGTGGTTTTACATTAACAAATTGACGGGGAGAAGGAGGGGGATTAAGCATGACGTGAATTTGAAAAATGGCAGGGGGAGGGAGAGGGGTTTAAGCATGTTTTGTTGAGATCTGATTTCTGGGGGGCATYTGGGAACGAGTTCTTTATAGTTTTTTTTTTCTCTTTGACGCTTTCTGTTTTGTTTTGCTTTTTTGTGTGTGCTTTTTTAAAGAATATTATTTAATATGCACGATTGAGGGAAATCTCTTTGGCTCTTTAGATCTTGTCTAGATCGATCCTTTATCTGTACATTTTTATCGTACTTCGGCCACGTTTACTTATTTAAAAATAACAATCAAAGACCCATGATCACTCACCGAGCAAGTGCTTCGTTTTCTTAACATCAACGTTTTCAAACTCGGTTTTATTCCAAACAAACTTAGAGTCWGGTCGCTTGGCAACCCATTCATCGATAAGRTTTCTGCCATCATAACGTCGGCCCTTTCTGTTCGRATATTCGGGATCTGYGGTCGTATTCGGTAAGAAGTTTCTCCGACCACCCCCGAAGACGACCTCTATACCGTCACCATGTTTGCCTTGGAAGTCTATCAGTTGAATAGCTAAAGAAGTATAAAAAAAGTGATTGTTTATTTTACAAATGAATAAAAGATGATATGAAAAGATATGAAAACAACCATGACGACTATCGTGGATAAAAAATATTTCTASACCGAAAAGCGCGATGACTCTAAGAATAAGTTGATTCTCACATATATTTACTGTACTKAAACATGACCTCACTTAAACGGTCAACAAACTCTATTAAGCGGTTTTTCCCCAAGGTGACCGCTTAATAGGGGTTCGACTGTATGCCTAAATCTGTTTTTTATCGTAGTTTATAATAATTGCTAGCTTTTTTGGAAAAAAAGAAAGAAAAGAAACACAAACAGATTGGTTTTAAAAAGCGCAAGAAAATATTTCCCATCGTTCCTTGCTTTATAAAATGGCGTCGCTGCAGCGTTTCCTATCAACCTATGCAAACGATAGAAATTAATAAGAACAAAGAACAATACTTAGTGATACCATGGCTAAACGATTCAATAGCCCTCAGTGAAGAGTTTACGTCACCTACTTGATTTGCAATGCATCATTATGGCCTCACTTTTTTTGCAGAAAACAAAACAAATCCGCCATGTTTGTCCCAAACATATCCTACAATGCATTTCGTCAGTACATGACGTAAAAGCTTCAGATATCAATAGACGCACCTATGTCATCACAAGCTTGTGCATCGCTTGCACGGCTCATTTTGTCGCGGTCGCTTTCCCAGTATCTGTTTGCCGAGTGAGCATACAAGGAAGCGGGCGTAGCGTGTGTGATACGCATGTTTGTAACGATTCCAGTAGACATCCCAGCATCCTCTGCCATCTTAAGAACACTGAAGACTTTTCGTTCGTCCGTGACAGAACTGCATTTATTGTGCTCCACA